GCCCACAAAAAAATTCGTTTAAGAAGTACAAAAGTGAAAAAGTCAAAGAATAATCATTATTGATGAGTCCTACCAAACGAGCAAACGAGAAACAGACCAGAAAACGACAAACTAGCCACTAAAAATGGCATACTATTACAAAATATCTTCTTTATTTATTTCCTCCACAAGACTTACCAAATTCTAGTACTACACAGATTGTGGTTCTCAATTTGCACGTAGCCCTTCAGTTGAAAGAAGCTTTTTAACCGCCTTCGCCAGCTGTGTGTTGACTGGACTTTGGCGTTGACCGTGGAGCAGCTTATTTACTATTGAAATTTGAACAAATATTCAAATGATTATAACTTTCTTCAAATATGACGAATTTTCAATCTGAAAGCAGATTTGGAAGTTTTGTGAAGAGCTTTTTCTAATCAGTACTGAAATTACAGGAAGTTATAAGAAATAACAAATTTAGATCAAATAACGAGGAAAATTCGAGACGAGCACGAGTTTTTACACTTTCCGGAGCAATAACTTGCTTCATTTCCGTCAAATTCAAAAAGTTGATACGTCATACAAAACTAGAAGATTTTCTCTACCAAACGTTGCTAAAGCAGCTTTATACGTCCAGTATTCAAAAAATGGCCACGTTGAGGATTTCTGCAAAATTAACGAGGAAAATTTGTGATGAGTGCGAGTTTTTTTATTTCCTAAAGCCATAACTCCGTTCAAACTCATCCAATCCAAAAAGTGAATACGCCATCAGAAACTAGAAGATTTGCTCTATCAAATGCTAGCTAGAACTGCTCCAAACGTCCAGTATTAAAAAAACGGCTACGTTGAGGATTTTCGCACGAGTACCGCCGAAAGGTACTTTTTCGCTACATTGGCACTATTTCAACGGCTGTATATCCTTTTAAGGGCGATGTACTAAAGTAAGAGCAGATTTGGAATCATTGCTTTTCTCTTTCTAAGAAAAGTGATTGATTAGCGTTTCTCAACTTTAAAGGTTACATGTTTATAAATTTAACCCTGAAGAGTCCGTTAACGCAATGTTGAATGGTGTACACCTCCCTGTAAATGCGCACGGACACATTCAGAATTCTCTCGATTGTTCCTGAATTGAGGTTGTTTGTCCAAGGAGCCGTAGTTCAAGCGCGCGCAACAACTAGACCCTTTCTCGGATGCGCCGTGTACCTCACATCCCTTCAGATTCGGGGTCTTACTTGAAAGATGAAATATCTCTTGGAAAGCGTGCGAAATTCAGATTCTTTAACTTGTGTGGTGATAAAACACTGAAGTAACTAAGAATTACCGGACGCCTCAGAATCACGAAAATTTTGTGTGGGTGAAATATCATTTTCATTGGAAATCCTCTGGCCTGGCATCGACTCATCCTTGATATTTGTCTTCCGACGGTGATGATCCCACTGCATCAAAATGGCTCGATCTCTTCCACCCAGCGGGCCAATACGACCCCCCCCCCTGCGACGTGTCGAGGATTCCTCAACGCACGCTTGACCCTGGTACGGTCACCAAAGTACTGGTCACAGTGAAGGACCGCTTTGAACGAAAACCAAGTGGGTTTGGCAAGGTCACAAAGCTCGCTGCAGAGCGCTCCCTCTGCAGTTCAGGGCGGAAGAACTATACAGTAAGACTGGTGTAACACGTAGCAAATTACTGAAGACGCTTCGACCGGAATGCTTTCAAAGTCGTACCACGCAACAGTAGCTCAAGCGATCGAAACGCTTACCGATGCAGGCCGCCTCCCGGGACGCTCCGAGGTTATCAATGGGATAACATAAGACTAATGGTGAAACTGCACGCCACGTCTAAGATCGCTATTATAGCGATTTGGCAGAACATTATGCTGATAAGAAACATACGTATCAATCTAAAAGTCCGCCGATAATGCGCCAAAGCAATTTGGCGATTTGGCGCTTATGCTCAATGCTTATTCAGTCGATACGCATACACCATTTTCAGCGTAATCATCTAAATCGCTAGGTGCTATACAAGTAGGGTGGGCACGCCGCATTTTTTGAACAGAAATGTATGTCAGTGGGACTGCTGCTCGCTACTATACTGTCACGAGAATTGGGAGTTTCGTGAGCCAGGGGGAGTGTAGCCAATCTAGGGGGTGGGGGTGAGGGCAGTCACTTGACATGCGTGAAAAGCTGGGTGTGCCCACCCCACTTGTATAGCACCAATCGGCTAATAGTCAAACTGCATTGGTCTCGATCTATGAACGGGAGTTGAAAGGATGACATAATGGAAAATGGGCGCCACTGCCGCTGTTCGAAAGGGTGCGGTCCGCCATCGATTGGCTTCCTAGTTAGTGATCTACTCATCTACTCATGTCAGACCCTCGCAGACCTCGCGATTGCGCTCGCTGATCCCAGCGACTCGCGAAGCTGCCGGCGATGAGTCGCCGGCGATGGACGTCGCTCGGCGATGCGGAATCGCCGGCGACGGAGCCGCCCGGCACAAGAGTGGCAGCAGCGGCGATGACTCATCAGCACACGATCGATATCGGTTTGGCAGGGGGTGATTAATCATCCTCACCCATCGTTCATGTTGCTCACCCCTGCCAACCGATATCGATCGTGTGCTGATGAGTCATCGCCCGCTGCTGCCACTCTTGTGCCGGCGGCTCCGTCGCCAGGCGACTCCATCGCCGGCGACTCCATCGCCGGCGACTCCATCGCCGGCGACTCCATCGCCGGCGACTCCATCGCCGGCGGCTCCGTCGCTGGTGTCCAGCGACGCAATCGCCGAGTCTGACCGAGGTCTCAGAGCAAAGCTTGGGCACTCACCCGCTGATTTGCAACGCCTCAGCAACGATCCCAACACCGTCCCCAGCTCACGGATGTAGAACGGTGCCGGATTACCAGTGCTGCCTCACACTCAATCTCACGCTTGCAGGGAATCGGGGATCAGAACCTAGTTTCGCTATGACATACCTTATCGATGCGGCTTGTCAATCGCCTACTTGCCTGGTATCCAGCTGACTACGTCCCATAACACGCCAGTTTAGCGGAATCGTTAAAATCTCACCAAAGCCGCAGGAGACTGGGCTGTGAATGCTGCTTTATTACCTGGGAACTTTAAGTATCCTCCAGAAGAATTGCCGACACACTGCATCGACCTCCAGCCAGGGTCAAGTCTACGTTGTTACTTGGGGGGGGGTCGTACCTGGTTGAGTTTATAGGAGGGGGTCGTATCCGCTTCAGTCGCGTGAAATTACATGTGAGTTTGTGGTGAAAGTGGAGTTTTTACGAGTAGTAGGCTAGGTGAAGTTGGGAGCGCACGGTGAGAAAAATCGCCGCTTTGGCGCGCGTATATACTTCCCTAGAAAATGAGGAAGTGGGAATATAGGTAAATATAGGTAAAAGCCGGTAAAAGTGAGAGTAAAATGGCGGAGGGAAATTTTAACTGTTTCAGAGTAGCTATAAGGGAATTTTAACTGTTTCAGAGTAGACGACATTTTCAAAGGAAAAGTGAGCGGAGTTTGGAGGGTTGAGTGGTACCAGAATTGGCTTCTAGTTTAGTGATTCTACTCATCACGAGCCAGGCGTGGGGCAACTCAACGCCGCTGATTTGAACGCAATCGCAACGATCCCAACACCGTCCCCAGCTCACGGATGTAGAACGGTGCCGGATTACCAGTGCTGCCTCACACTCAATCTCACGCTTGCAGGGAATCGGGGATCAGAACCTAGTTTCGCTATAGGAATAGCTTATCGATTAGCGGCTTGTCAGATCGCCTACTTGCTGGGTATCCAGGCTGCTACGTAACACTGCTGTTAGCGGAATCGTTAAATCTCCCAAGGCAGGGAGACTGGGCTGTGAATGCTGCTTTATTACCTGGGAACTTTAAGTATCCTCCAGAAGAATTGCCGACACACTGCATCGACCTCCAGCCAGGGTCAACCCTACGTTGTTACTAGGGGGGGGGGGTCGTACCTGGTTGAGTTTATAGGAGGGGGGTCGTATCCGCTTCAGTCGCGTGAAATACATGTGAGTTTGTGGTGAAAGTGGAGTTTTCACGAGTAGTAGGCTAGGTGAGTTGGGAGCGCATGGGAGAAAAATTCGCCGTTTCAGCGCGCGTATATACCCCCTAGAAAATGAAGTAGTGGGAATATAGGTAAATATAGGTAAAAGCCGGTAAAAGTGAGGAGTAAAATGGCGGAGGGAATTTTTACTGTTTCAGAGTAGCTATAAGGGAATTTTAACTGTTTCAGAGTCGACGGCATTTTTGGAGGAAAAAGTGGGCGGAGTTTGGTGGGTTGAGTGGTACCAGAATTAAATACTATAGAGAGGAATATGGTGGTCGAGGTGTCGAAAAGGGGGTCGTATCAAATCCACCTTGGGGGAGGGGGGTCGTAAAAATTTTTGAAAAAGTAACAACGATAGGACTGACCCTGCCTCCAGCCGTACTGTGGAGTCGATCCCAATCAAATGTATCCAACAGTTTACAATTGTTCTATATTTAGGTGCTTCCAAAAAGTTCACATAAGTCTTACTTACAATATTTACTTTACATGTACTATCGAGGATATTTGTACAGACTGCACGACATGACCACCAGCTTTACATATTCTAAACTAGAACCACGTGAGATTTACAATCGCTTATATCATCCAGAAGAAGGGTGCAGCATCACAGGTTGTGTCTCAACCTAGTGTTGCAAGGTAGAGCAAGTTTTCGCAAAAGACCCCCACTGCTCACATTTTTAATAAAACTTGGATATGGCCTCCATTGGAATGAACATTAACATCTCTCATGAAAGATAGGACCACTAATCGGTATGATACAGTAATGTGAAGAACAAGAGAAACCAAGGAAACACAGACGCAACAGGAAAACATCTCGATGGTAAACATAATGAGGTGTCTTCAAAGGGAGTACTTCCCCTCAGGTGCAGAAAGAAACATAAAAGGAGGAAGAAACTACTATGCAATTTGTTTACAGTTGCAGTTTATGGTACATGAGACTAGCAACGTATCCTAGTTTTGCTAATGTACACCATTCCAAGAAATTACGTTTGGATCCTCGTCTAGGCCTAGCCAGCTGCCAAGGTAGGATGGATGCGCCTCGATTCCATATCTAGAAGGAAAACCAAAGCATTTGAACTGACAGGTATACAACGATGATTAAAACTCACCTTTCTAATAGCTGCTCAGCGCACGAACCCTCCATCAGCTTCTTCTTTGCCATCTCAGTAATGGAATGGAAATGGATGAATGCCGCGATTACGACAAAAGTGTGAAACAATTGATGGGATTGAAACTGAAATACGTTTCAAATATCAATCGCCCACAAAAACTTCTGAAAGACAGACAAAGAAAGTAACAGACTGTTCTACCTACCCATAAGTCGCATCTTCCAGGGAACCATCGCTCAGGAATTCTAGTGGCGTAAATAGCGGCACCGCTGATATACATGAAACCCATTAATAGCATCCACACCAACGATGCCTAAAAATGAGAGGAGAATAAGCACGCGCTATCAGCAAGCCAATTTTGTTCTTAATCGACCTTAGTGTAAAGGAATTCAACTCCATCTACAAACAACAAGTGGGCAGCAGGAAAAACTGCCGAGAGTCCCATAGCAACGAAGATAATGGCTCGTAGCGGTCTGAAAACAGACTCCGAGTTAGTCCAATCGCTACACATAAAATGCTGTTATTACAATGCGAGGAACATAACTGGTAGAACAAATACATCATTAAAGTTATACTGAAGTAATAACCTGTACGCTGGTTCCGAAAACTTGTCCCACAAGGAGACAATCATCGCGAGCAATCCTAACACGCTGATCATCGTGATGTAGATCACCATCGGCTGAGGGCGACAGTAGAATGCGTAATAAAGCCAAGGTATGAACGATCCAACAATGAGTAAAGCAATCCCAGCATAGTCCAACCTGAGAATCTTTCAAAAATCTTCACTAACAATTACCAGTGGCGAACAAGTTAGCCCCGCACAAATTCCGGTGAAACTTTTTGAAATGCTTGACAATTCTCATAAACAGTAGGGAACCAGTTTGGGAAGAATTCTGTGGAAACCCAACAGCTGACTCGTACTAAAAAAAACATACTTGCTGAATAATTTTCCAACGGTGTCTGAATGACATGCGACAGTGTGGAATATGAACGACATCCCGAGGCACAGTATTGCCCCCAAAAAGTATAACGAGAATACGACCTTCTCCATGAACTGAATTTGAGGCGTCGGGCGCGTGAGAAACCACAAAGCAACTCCAATGAAAGCCACACAGCCTGAAAACTCTTCCATAAAACCCTAAGGTATTCTAATATGAATGTCGCGCTGACCACTAGTCAATCTTTGCAGTGAAAAATGGCGAAGCTTAATACAACAAAAGGAAATATCCAGTATTCTGAGCTGCTGAGCTCATGCGCTTGGGTGGGATGTCTATGAGAAAAAAGCGCAGTATTCGTGGTTGTTCCTGTACTTGCCACATGCGATTATTCACAGAGAGGAGTGGCGCCGCTGCTTAAGGGCCTTGACAACCAAAATAAAATACAGTGATTCCAAGAACAATCTCTCTCATTACTGCGACCACGAACTCACCGTACATGTGCGTCCAAATGTTGCCGGTCTCAGTATGGAGTGCGAAGATGCTCTTGAAGCAGCTACTGAATGAAGGAAGTGGTGGACGATGACCTGCACAAGTGGGTAATCTTAGAAAACGAGCACAAATTGGCTGGTTGGGAAATATTGGAAAAAATTTCTAATCAATCAACAGAACTTACCCGTTCTTAGATATTCGTTGTCCTGTAGCCACTCAGGAAGGTACTCAAAATTTGTGGCTTTCCATCTAGCTTCCCAGAACTGAAATTGCAACGGAATTTGCAAAGAACGAGCATTGTCAGAGCATCTCCGAAACGTGTGAACAAACCTTTTTGATGATAGTTCTCGCTCCCTTACCAGATTCGCCGGGCACCACAACTTCTTCTTCATTAATTTCAACCTGAAAAATAAACCATGGACTGCCCACACTGACACACCCTTTATAATCGGGCGACTCCACAAAAAAAATGCATAGGAACCTCCAGTTCGTTGTCGTCTTCATCAGGATGTGGCATTCCACTAAGATCGAATCTCAGCGTTGTCGTGGCGAGGCTATCTTGGTTCTCTTCGTCAAGGCCACCGGATCCGCGAGACTTCTTGGTGGGATGAAGGCGACAACGTAGTACACGACGTCTATGGGTGTTTCCGTTTGTCTGTAATCGCCCTCAGATATAGAACGGTAAAAGCCCATGAAAGACTTACTCCCTTTCACACCAATATCCCTACTTTTCTATGAAAAAAAGCCTCAGCGCCAAGCTTTACGTTGGCAACATTGAGGCACTTGATGCTTCCTAGGTATTTGGCGACCTCCTAGAAACCATCGAACGCGCCCGACCACAATCTAGTCCTAAGCTGACTTTGATTTGAGTTATTGGAAAAGCCAATCGAAATACGATACAACTAGCTGATTTCACGTGATGCCTATGCGAGCCAATTTTTTGACCACAGTTCATGGTTACCTCTGAGTAAAAATCAGTGAAGCAACTCCATCAAAATCACCATTGTTTCTTTGTCCTGAATGACGGCAAGGGTCATTTTTTCACCCTTAGCATTAGGCATACTCCAAGCACGACGATGGCCACGAGTCCATTTTGCAGTGTTCCCCTTATTTGATGAAGATGAGGAAGCTTTTTGTGACTCAGCTTCTTGCCCTATAAAGACGAAGTATAACTTCATGAAAGGGTTACTTCACATGGCACTCACAATTCATTAAGCGTACCTTCTACTAAGGTTGAAAGCCTTTTTGACTCGTTTGCTGAGTTTTCATCATCGCCTTCATCGCTGTCTCCTCTTGGTTGCTCCACCACTTTACTATGTCGAACGATAATTTCAATAGGATGCGATGACTTTTTGGGACTGCAACAAGTATCATTGAACACGACGGAATTTCTACTCGTATTATTGTCAACAGAATAAGAGAAGGCGGAATCACACGAAGATTGGAGTACAATGATACAGTGCAGACGAGGCATGGCCATACAGTAGAGCGAAAAGCATAGGGCAGGGCTTTGACCGATCGCTGGTAGTGAGCCGTTAAGTATTGCAGACATTCACAGAACTACGGTAATTACCTAGCAAACGATCGCTCACAAGCGTGAAGCAAAGCGTAAGCAACACCGCTTTTGATCCCAATATCTGTATTCAGTCCTTTCAGAAGATCTTGAGAAGCAACCCCTAATCTTTAAAATTAACTCGAAAGACAATGATGAGACACGTTAAGTTGTTCTGGATCCATGACCATTCTGTTCGATGGCCGTTTGCTCCCCAATAAAGTTAGGCTCCCCGATGCGCTTTCGGATCTACCATAGTCGGTCTGGACGCGCACTTCATCGGCCAGTGGAGAAGGAAGTGTTAGGAAAGTCTATCGGGTTAAAGGCCCGGGAGAGAAACTCTTCCTTCTCCCGGGCCTTTAACCCGATAGGACTTTTCTATGTGAGGATGTTGTAGAGCAAGACCTCATAAGACTTCTACAGCTCGGTGGGTGCTCTGAAGTTAGCGCTTCAGAAGAGGTGGGACGACATCGCCGTTGGCTACCTGCGGCGCACTGCTGATTTTGTTGGACGTCAGAAGGCCTCTGTCAAAGCAGAATCGTCAAACCTAGAGCACCTTTGCCCGAATGATCATATAGCTCAACCATATCGCTCTTCAAAGACGGTTTCCCCCTTAGCTTTTACGTAAAAACATGGCGTATTGTGATTTTCAGCCCCCCCCCCGCCCCCTTTAAATCGCTAAAGTTGATCACGGTTGTGTTCTGTCTTATGCACACACCGTCCACGCTAGTTATCGATAGAGATACCCGCTTCAAAAATACTTTAATTACCTTTCCAACCTACTAACACACTGTGGAACGCGTGCTGCATCATGTGCAGTACCCCCCGCCCATACGAAAAAGGTTACGTCTTCGTTTATTTACCATTTTTTGTGTATCAAATTCACTAGTGAGCCTATCGAGCATAGAAATTATCATACATTTGGGTAATGATGGAATTAATGCTACACTTTTGGCTAGTGATCGGACTGACGGCAAAAATCCATGGAGGTGTACGCATAACGGTCGTCCACAATGGGTTGAAAACCATTTATCACTACGACAATTAAACGGAAAATTACCAGTACACAGCTGAGTCGCCTCTCCTGGGGTTGTTCATGACGAAGTGAAATTGGTGGCTTACAAAAACCGGTTTTGACCGAGCTATCTCTTCTCCCACGTCATGTTGTTATCATATTGGTGGCACTGTCAATGTGTTGCACAATGATGGGACGCACTTTGCCCAATTAAACAGTGCTGATTTTAGCCGGGCGGCCCATTTACGATGCTCAAGTGACGCGAGTAAATTTTTTAGCGGCATTGAGAGTTTCCGTCAATTATGCACCAATCAGTGATGTCTTTTTGGTCGACCGAGATTCGAAAAGCAAATGTTTTACCAAAGGCGCATGGACGTGGTTCTACAAAGAACGATTCGTTGTTTTCAGAGACGTGCACTTCTTATAATTGTTCGGAAAGCAAACAAAATTCTTCAAGATGGTAGCGGTATACAAATATCCCTACTATATATAATTCACTAAGTATGTCTGTCTGTGTGTGTGTGTGTGTGTACGTCCGTCTGTTTGTCACGAAATTCATAGCTCGGGCACCAGTGTCGTCAGGAGTTGATTTCAAGATATGATATAGGGGGTGGGACGGGAACATATTTGGTGGGGTACAGAAAGTGATAACAACTGATAAGAGGCTGATAAAGAGGTTAGAATGCAAATGTCACGAAATACATTGCATGCGTCCCAGCGACTGTGAGGCGTTGCCTCCAATATATTGTATGAATGGTGGGACGGGAACATATTTGGCGGGTGACAGAAACTGACACCAACTGATAGATGCTGATAAGGAACCTTAGAAGGGAAGGGCAACGGATCTTTTGAAGGGTCATGTTTGATGGGTGACAAAAAGTGAAAACGGCTTATAAGGGCTGATAAGAAAGCTCGAGTACGGAGGAGTCACTGAAGTTGTTACCTAGAGGCGCGATAAGAAATGCTTTCCATTTTTCCTGCGATTTCGTCGTCACCATCGAGATTCATTAGACCGTAATCTCTCTGAGCTTCAGGATGGTCGGTATTTGTGGATAATCAGTATTTGTGTTTCTATTTTAATGCCACATTCATAAGAAGTTGCAACCGCTCAACTTTTTCATCATCCGAAGCATGATAGTAGCAGTTTATGCTGTCTTGATAGTGTAAACAACTATCATGCAGCTCGAGCAATTGTTACTTATCCAAGACTTATTCGGCCGCTAGACCATGTTGGTTCCCGAAAAATGATGGATGTTTATGGGTATTGATGAGCTGCAGGAAATGACTGCCTTATCACCAGCAACCATAATAACTTTCATTAGTAACACATCAATCAAATTCATCAAAAGCCACCTTATACAAAAGAACGGCCATTCACCGTTCTACTGAAGCGTATTTTGTCGCGCTGTAGCGAGCGGAGCCAAACTGGTTTCGTACATTGCTTAGAAGCAGCTATCAATATGTATAGCCAACACTGCTGGTCTGTTCCCGGTTTCTTTAAACCAGCAACCCGTATAAC